ACCTGGAAATGGTTCAACTTTGGTTCAAAAAATGAAAGATAACGATTATCACAGTAAAATCAATACAGGTAACTTATACTTTTAAGAAAGGAACTTACCCTTCAGCTCACATAAAAAAATCAACCAATATCACAAGGAGGCAAAGCCAAATACCTAGGGGTGCACTTAGATCGCAGATCATATATGGCGAGACCATACTTAGATCAAGAGAAAGCAACTCTACCTATAGTTACGAAAATTTTACTGGTTGTTAGGCAGAAAAGTAAAACCTTAAACAAATACTAAATTCTTAATATATTAATGCATTATTAAATCGATATAGATTTATGGAATTCAATGATAAGGCACAGCAACAAAATCAAACATAGATATTATTACAAGCTTCCAAAATAAAGCCCTAAGATCCATCGTCAATGCGCCGTGGTTTGTTACGAATTACATAATTAGAAAAAACATCAAGATGACAACGGTAAAAAAAAAAGCTCCATGCAGAAAGTATATAAACAGAATATCCGAACATCCGCATCGTTCGGTGAAGAATTTGTTCCATATAACTGCACTTAACATTTCAAGATTCATAAAATTTAAAACACTACAAACCTAACACTTGTATTGTTATCATTTTATTTATAAGCATAATGTAAATATGTAACGATAATGATACGATTCACTGGAGTACTTTCATGTATATAATTTTATTGCAAACATCGCTTTTATAAAACTTACTAATTGTCGTCTTTGTAGACAAATTGTCAAATAAAGACTTTAAAATGAAAAAGAATCGATATTGTAACTCTTTTTAATGTATTTATTCATCGTTAAATTGATATAAATAAGTTAAAGGCTATGAAACACGAACTTATTCTTACGACTCACTCGCGTTGACTTTTTTCAGCACGGCTTAACTATGGTTACGGATTTTTTTTTTGGAAAAAATTTAATTTTTTAGTCTCACATATACAGTGCAACCAAGGACATTTATCTGTATTTAACATATTGGTAGAAGACTAATGAAAGAACTAAAAGAAGAGCTGCTACGCGAACGCTAATAAAATATTTAGCCAAGAAAGACGACCAAGATGCAACGTTGTTTGTTTCAGAATTTAATGTAAAATGTATATAATGTTTAGAACCAAAGTGTTACCTATGATCTCAATCAGTAAAATTACTTTCTAAATCTCGTAGTATTTACTGAAAATTATTCTATTTTTCGATAAGTATGTACAAACGAATAAATTAAATAAAAGAAAAAATTGTCTTTACAAAAAATCATCAATTTTTTTGGTAATTTCGGTTTACTTAGTCAAAAATTGCTGGATATTCAAATTGGTTATGGATCTAATATAGGGTACTTGACAAAAAAAAGGCACAAAATATTATAAATATTATAAATATTATTGAAGTAATCGTTAATGATCAAATTCACATGTTAAAGGTTATTTAACATTAGATACTAGTTCGTACCTAGCGAATTAAATTCCTAAGTGAAAGCAATATTCTGTACATCAACTGATATTAATGAATTGTAAAGTACACTAAACTGAACTAAACTGAGTGAAGACTAAATTATAAGTTAAATAAATACATCATCCAGGAATCATACTATTTACACAATCTTTCAGCTTTCAATTCATACCTTATAAAAATAATATATTTTAAACATGTATCTAACTAGATCAAATCAGCGACATTCATAAGCATCTCATCAATCTGCGTCGAATAATACTGCTCGATATCACGCAAAATTCTAATATCGTCACTCTTTACAAAGTTAATAGATACACCCTTTCGGCCAAATCGTCCGGAACGACCTATCTTGTGGATGTATAACTCACGATTATTTGGCAAATCATAATTAAGGACTAGTGACACTTGCTGTACGTCGATTCCTCTTGCCCAGATGTCCGTAGTAATCAATGCACGACTGAAATAGAAAGATAAATTGATAATACATAGGCGCTATCAAAAGATGTATTACCAACTTGTAAAAAAATAAACAAACTTTTGCCCATATCTGAATTCTTTCATTATATTGTCTCTCTCTTTTTGAGGCATATCACCATGCATAGAACATACTGTGAAATTATTTTCCCTCATTTTTTCTGTCAACCAATCGACTTTGCGTTTTGTATTACAAAAAATAATAGCCTGTATAATGGTTAGAGTATCGTAGAGATCGCATAATGTATCAAATTTCCATTCTTCTCTTTCTACAGCTACAAAAAATTGCTTGATTCCTTCTAGAGTCACTTCATCACTGTAATTGAAATTGTTGAATTAATGTTTTCAATAAGCCACACATTATTTAAATTTATTTAAATGGAGTACTTGATAAGCTTACCGTTTGACAAGAACACAAGTAGGATTGATTATAAATTTACTAGTCATTTCTAAGATTTCATGTAGTAATGTTGCAGATACAAGCACTACTTGTGTGGCAGGAGGTAAATATCTGTAGACATCGTAAATTTGTTCTTTGAAACCTTTATTCAGCATCTCATCTGATTCATCAAGAATGAGCATTTGATAACCCTCGTTCTTAGAACTCTACGTTTAATCATGTCAAATACTCGTTCAGGAGTTCCTGACACAACATGTTGACCGTAGTCAAGTTTTCTAATATCTTCGCCTAAATTTGTACCACCAATGCAAGCATGACATTAAACATTCATGAAATCACTCATTGCAAGTACAACTTTTTGTATTTGTGTAGCCAGTTCTCTGGTAGGAGAAAGAATTAATACTTGTGTTTCACGTAGAGCAGTGTCTAAAGCCTGTAGAGCTGCTATTGAAAATGTTGCTGTTTTTCCTGTTCCTGACTGTGCTTGAGCAATTACATCTTTGCCCTTCATTATTGGAATGATAGCGCTGCTGGATGGCTGATGGCTTTTCAAAACCTGAGTAACACAAAGGATAGAATATAATTTTCTGTGAAGACAACCTTATCATTATTTAATTAAATTGAGAATAATAGTTTATAAGTAAAAATTGATATCAGAGTGAATAAAAATCAAAAACTTTATTTTGAGGTTAGAATTCTGATTACTTGAAAATCTACGAAATATAATAAAAACATACCAAAAGCATAAATTCCTCGAAGAAGTTCATCTCTGAGACCCATAATATTAAAAGTTGGGATAACTTCGACATCTTCGGTTGTTTTAAACTCAACAATCGGTAAATCATCGGCTTGCGCTTCAACTCGGCGTAAGCCGTTTTCTTCTGTTTTTACCCTCTTCTGCTCTTCTGACGAAATGTTCAACGAACGTCTTTTCATGTTTAATGACAAATAATTTAATAAATATAACTATTATTTGTTAAAATAATCAACTATACTACAATTTAAAAAACAAAATAATCTTGCTAGTGTTGTTTGCTGTTAATACTCATAAACTCACTAAACTAAACGCCGCTCACCAACACTACTGAGCCGACTCTGGCGTGTGTAGGTAGGACAGTGTCGCCACCTAGTCAGCCAACAACGATCGCATGCTGTCAAAAATGCGTGTGATATAATATAAGTAAAACAAATAATAGTTAGTTTCCAAAAATTCAGCCTACACAAATAATCGTGGCTAGATTTAAGATTTTTGAGCCTTAAAAATTTTCTCAGGTAAATATAATTGTGGATGTAGTTTGGAGCAACAAGTTATGATTTAAATTTAAAACGTGACAATTGAAACACGAGGCTGTGATTAAATCTGTATGTATTAATTGTGGTTACGCCCGTCAAAATTGTATTTAATTATGTTTTTCGGTAGGTTCGTGTTTGTAGTAAATTAAACGGATCTTAGATAATAATTGGTAATATTCTTTTATGTAATCCAATGATAAACTTATAATAATAATGAAATGATGAAATAATGCTGTATTCAAAGCTTACGTAAAAATATCACGTTTGTGCTTCAAATCTTTGAATAAACCATTGATAATTTTGTAAATATAAACGGTGGACGTATAATTTTGAATTGTAGAATTATTGTCTAATGTGTTTCTTGTCTTGTCATATTGAATTTAATAAATACACAGATTTTAGTCAACTTCCAGTCTTAAAAAAAATGGCGTGAGACGTTCACAGCAATGTCACTTTTTTAAATTTATGAAGATCATAGATAAATTAATTGATTTTACAAAACAATACTCATAAGTTATGTGTCGAAAAATTTGTATGTATATATCTTTTAATAAGGCTGAAATCGAACAATGCTTTAAATAATTTTGTTCACACGCAAATTTGCTGTGAAATTTCAAACTTTTTTTAATCAAAGCGAAAAAATGTAATTTAGTTTTTACGAATATGAGCTTTCACGTAAATCAAAGAACTTTATACTTTCAGGAATAAAACTTTTGGATCCTTCAACCAAATATGACAGGAAATTCGATAACAGCTCTGAACATCATAGAAAGAATATTTAGTAATTGGAAAACATTGGAAGAGATCGTTGTCGTTGGCAAAGTACACGATTTTGAAATGATGGATAAAGTACGATATTTTTGTCAAAGTTTCGCAATTGTTGTTTCAATGGAAGATAAATTAGATTACAGAGAGATTTGTGTAGATTTGAAAGATCTTACGAACATGATATTCAATAAGATACTCACGGATAATAGCGAGCAAGAAATTGCAAAACAGATTATGATATTTCACGAGTGTAAAGTAAAAAATGACGTTGAAAGTTTGAACACCGAATTCCAAAGATTACCTGTACTCCAGAGATGGATTATATCGTGATAATACATACAATTGTGATTAAAAAAACCTACATATACATTTGTGCCATGTCGATTGAGATAATTTTTATAATAATTTTTATACTGTAAATGATATAGAAAACGAAATTGATAGTTACTTTGTACTTTTTTTTTCATGTAATTAAGTGAATAAAGTATATAGTTTATAAAATTGTTTTCTACAATTTTATATGTACATAAAATAACCGAGGAGAGGATTTTATTATAAATAAATATTGAATAGAATTTATTAAGATGCAATAGTTGTATTTTCGGGAACATTTACATTTGTGCAGATGATACGTGTTTCATACAAAGAGGAGTTTATATTGATTACCAAAATTAAGTTCTACTTTCTATAGACATAGAATGATACCTTTCTCATTTACATAAGTAATGGAACATAGTATGATTAAATTTACGAATGCCGATGTAAATATCTTTCATTCTTTTTTTAGTGATTCATCACTATACCTCTTTGCTTTAATTACGAGTTTTTATTCATAATTTGTACCGTTCATCTTGATTTTCAATAATGACTTCATCGTGGAAAAATATATTATTTATATAGTCTTGTCATTAGAGTGTAAAAAAATTAAGAGGATATAATTGCAAACAAAAATGAAATGCGCAATGATTGTACTATAATTCGAATTTTATTAAACAAACTAAATACAAAAGAATTATCATCTTTGTTCTTTCCGATTCTATGACTTTTTGAGACGCATAGAACCGCTACACATTAGCTGAAATAAAACCTGAATTACATGCAATTGACAATACAATATCAACACAACTGTGACGAAAAAAAAGTATAAAAAGATACTTGACTCATTTTGGAAGATGAGATCAAATTGTTACAATGAAAGTTTATATAAAAGAGTATAATTTAAAAAATGTACTTGTTACAAAAACCGTAAAAGTTATTTCGGAAGCATTGTGGTTAGGAAGAATACTAGTTTCGTAGGCAGACAACAGTTGCGTTTAAATTTCAGGTAAAACTTCAGTGTAAGCGATTAGGTGCGACAGGACAACTAATAGTATTATTCTTACGAACCGCTAACATTACAAAAAAAATCGGATTCTCGTTGGAATATAATAAACAATAAATTAGTTTAAAAAAAGACAGAAAAAATTATAAAAAAACTGCACTTTCGTGTTTGTATTTAATATAAATAAAAGCAGTTAAAGTTTACGTGTACGGAATAATGTATAAATCGATTCGGGCTTACAAAGACGCATACTTTGATAATTCATGTACAATTTTTTAAATAAAACAGAAAATGGAGAAATTTTTTTGCGACTTCAAACTCCGTTACAAATAATCTATTTTAAACTAAGCTCGATCTACGAGCAACGAATTACAAAAATGGTCAAAGAAAACGAACCCAATACAACAGCCTTTCAGCAATATTTATCATTGTTGATTAGTAATTGTTTCTTTTCGTTATAGTTTTGACAACTTAGCAATGAAAAAAGTGATTTGGAAAATTTCTTGCGGATTAAAAAACATTTTCGGCGAAATACTTGCGATGACTTGTGCGTTTGCTTCGCGAAAAGGATTGTGGTTGCATATATAAAGTTGGTCTCGAGAATAAAACACCAGAGAAATATTTTTATTGAGTTTCTTTTGCAGTTATGAATGATGAATAAGATTTAAAACGAAAATTTTATAAAATAACAATAAAAATGCGTTTTTTGGAATGTCGACGGAAAATATTAGACGCAGGTGCTTCTCCTGTGATGCTATTAAAATACTATTTATACTATACTTTTATTGAAAATGAATAAGATTTTAATTTAAAAATTCTTTTGTGATGATATTTAAAATACGAGTTCAATTTGCTATTACTTTAAGGGAGATAAATAGCAATGTAGCGTAAACAATGAAAAAAGTGATTCAAGTTTAACGTAAGTTACGTTAACGTCCAATCATTTCACACCTCTTTCTTGTTCAAATAGCCGACTCATGTCGATAAGATTTCTTTCATATCAGAGTTTATTTAATATTTAATCATCGCCGACCTCAGACAACGCAAGTGACTAAACTATTGTACTTAACATATCTTCCCGAGACCATTGACTTGAATAATATTGAATAACTTGTACGGAATTGAAAACGCATTTACGATATGTACAATGAGAGAGTTATATATATATAGTAAATGGGATTTTCTGTCATTTATATTGATATATCTATTGTGATACAAATATACGCGAATTTTTTAGTTTTGTCACATACCTGTCCACATGTAATTATACTTATATATCCATCAAAGCCCATCAGAAGGGGAACCCACGCTGAACCGCACCAAGACATTTAAAAAAGAAAAAAACAAAATTTACAATTTCACATTGTCGACATACAAATGCAGACACTCACACCTCACGGTAAATTAACATTCTAATTAGGCTCTGGTAAAAACGTCTATCCAACGTGAATCATCTTTCGCATTCTCACAAGCATTCTTAACGTGCACGAAAACAAAAAAATATACATAGAATTCGCCATTTCCTGCGTCGCGAGATATATATGTATATAATATATATAGTTTATATATCGATGTTTGCATGTATATATATAATATATATGTATATATATAGAGAGATTTATCGGCCTTTTCATCCGTATATATAATATATATAAATCGTATCGACGACACAATAGTTTGAACTTTGAAGTGGGTGTGTGTGGATAAGTGAATATTATAACTCGAGTTTCTCGTTTCTATAATCTCTATCCTCGCGATGTGTCTGCACTCCGATATCCGCTAAAGCAAAGCTTCGAGCGCACACGGTATACATTCACGAACAACGACTAAAACGTAAGACCTAATTGCTATGTACACCAACTTACGTATCTACGAATTTATGAGGGCGGTGAGTGGGAAGGAAGGGGAGGCTAATTCTAAAATTATATTATACAGTATCTAGCCGCTCCAACACTGAAATTCATATTTAACATCTTTGGACTTGATTTATTACACATTTCCTTTCCTTTTCTTTATCTTGAGTATCTCCGACGAGGTGGATTTCGTCGTGATCGTCTTGGACTTTTGGCGCAGAAAGCAAAATTTATTATTTACAACTGGGTGCTACGTCGCGGTCCAACAACTGGTCTGACAGGTCCACGTGGGCCACGTACCACAAACGACGAGTGAAGTCGGGGCTTCGGTCCAACCATCACCACGTCGCCGGCCAATGACGCCGAGCGCTCCGGGCATCTGCCCGGAGCATGCTTGTCCTATACAGCCGATACCTGCGCGTCGTCGTCATCTGCAAAATCATCAGTTTGTTTCAGCGACTTGATTTTCGCCGCGAGTAAAATATAAAAAGACGATGCTCGCTCTTTTCTCTTTGCCGTTGTCTTTTGAAAAACTGTCGCGCTCTCTCAGCTATGCATTAGTACTTTTTCAGTGGCCGTGATGATAATAAAACTAAAGTGATGTCAGCTTTTCGCAGTAAATTTTATGCAAGTGTACATAATTCCAGCCATTTTTCTTACGATATAGTTAAAAACGAACGTCAATGGTCTAGAAATATATTTTTGTTCGTTTAATCAGAAAACAACTAATTTATGGATTTCAAAAGTGTAGCAAACAATAATAAACAACCATAAAATATCATTTAATTATACATTACTCTGAAAAGTAGCAAATATCATTATAAATTTGAGTTTATCAATTTATATCTTCACTATTGCCAACACTAACAATATTCACAACTAAACTATCCGACCTGTCTTCATTCAATCACAAAATTAAAAATAAAATGATTTTTCATTCTATTCACTTAAATTATAAAAGTGTCTATATCAAAGCAGCATATCATATTAGTGCATATATGTACTTTGTAAGTATTTCATCTATAAAAGCGTTTGAAAAAATGTATCTTTTAAATTTAAAAAAAAAAAAACGTATAAGCAAATAAAAATCATCACTTTAAAGCAAAAAAAAATATGCCGTGCGATATAATCGCGATAAGCGATAAAAAATAGTAAAGTCTTGGAAAAAAGTATGATGATCATAATGCATAATAGGTGAGAATGATATTTAATGGACATAAGCAAGCGAGCAAGTGCAATGGGTGAAAAGATATTTCAAATGCACGTTACTTTTTTGTTCTTATTTTACTAATGCCGACTAAATATCACAGTATATTGATGTATATAATAATAATAACCCATTAGTGCTGTGAATATATTTTCATTTCCCAGAATGTGTGATAATTTTGTATCTATTTCGTGTATCATATACGTTCTTTCACAGTGTTAAAAACGCCACAGAACATTTAGAAATGCATCAACATTTACCGTACACCAAAACGAACATGTCCATTTAAATTCTTATCTATATCGTTTCTCCCGACACGAAATCCCGTTATTATTTACATAACACATTAACGATTTCATTCTTCCTCCATGATATCTTGTACGATTTTTTCGCGTTGATTATACTCTATAGAGCATGTAAGTGTCGTGACGATATGTATGATAGTGAAATTATGAAAAATATGGTAGTGCGTCAATCGCCGTAGTGTAAAAAATAAAGAAAAACCAAAAAATAAACCTACTATCATCGTAACGTCTCGTCACAATAAAGCCGTCGGTCGTCAAAATAAACGTCGATGAAGAAGATGAAAAAGTGTGAAGTTGTGTGCGGTTATATTTTATATACCATCTTCGTGCTCTGTTCCACGATAAGTCACTCCCTCATGGCTATGCGCACGACCCAACCGATGGAGTCTTGCCATTTGAGCAGCTATCTTGTAGTCTGGTGGTATTCGACATTCCGTTGGGCCACGTATCATACGGCTCATCGGTGGTGGTAGTGGTGGCGGCGGCATCGCTCCACCTGCAATAACCCTCGTTCCCATTGTCGAACTTTGTTGTGCTTGAAGAATAGTTGTGTCTCGTTGAACGATACTTTTTGAACGAGCATTTTTTTAATAGATTAAAAACGTGAAGAAGCTCATTCAAAAATAACAAAAAATCATCTTCCGTGATGCTCGTGCTATATGTACGTCACTCTCTAAGCTAGATTATAACAATTAGAGATGAAAACCCAGCCAAATGGATGTAATCAACCAAGTACTTGTGTTTATGTTTCGATGGTTTTCAAGTAGTTTGTCGTAATAAACCTTTCATCGTTGTTCGATCAAGTATTTTATATAAAGTACACCTTTCCACCTGTGATTTTTCACCCATGCACTACATACACGTGCGAATAAGCAGATTCAATAAAGCAAGCAACTACCATGCACCCAACACCAAATTCCCCTTTGACAAAACAAAAATTCACTATTGCGAGATGATTAATGTATGAAAAAGCCATTGTGAACCTGCAATCGACACTCTTCTTCACAAAAAATACAATGTGAGAGATGAGGTTGTTGGCGTGAGATGAGGGACAAAAACACACCCTTTTCGCCTCGGGAACTCACCATCGAAAGGACACAAGGAATGATGGCGTTGACGGTGATGATGATGATGATGATGATGATTTTGTTGTTGGTGATGATCGCAACCTGGCCTTGGGGGTAGTGGTGGTAGCACTGCCACCGCGTGCGGGAACGGCGGGGGAGCGAATACTGCGTTGCCTGACGACGTTTCTTTTTTTTTTTTGTTATGGGTGAGTTTTCTCGTTTTAAACAAACAGGGAATGTGTTTGCACTGACACCAGAGTGTACAAGAGAAAGAGATATTGTCTTGTGAATGATTGTAGAAAGGTTTTTATGGTTTTGCTCGATTATATACGAGTTACCTGCTCCGATTATTTTTTCTTCGTAAAGAGTGTTAATTTTTTATTTATAAAATGACATAGCTTCAAAGAAATTAGAAAAAAAAAATAGGTATCATGCCGAACGATGTTAATGATCAAAGGATAAACTTGACTGCACATATAGATGAAATTTAAAAAAAATTATTGAATTTCACGATGTAAAATTTCAAAGACTATTTATAAAAAATGTAGCAACAAAGTTGTTTTAAATATTCATATAATATTTGCTCCAAGTATTACATACTACACAATCAAAGAAGCGACTTCTATATCTATACACATAGTATACAATTAATCTTTTCACCACAGAAGACAAAAATATGTTATAGTTTTGTTTAATTTGAATTGTAAATCTGTACAAAAACTAGTCGTCTAAGGATATAAGCTATTTACAATGTTTCATAACAAAACCTTAGAGAAAGCGAGAGAGAGAGAGAGAGAGAGAGAGAGAGAGAGAGAGAGAGAGAGAGAGAGAGAGAGAGAGAGAGAGAGAGAGAGAGAGAGAGGAGAGAGAGAGGAGAGAGAGACAACGACCAATAAGTACAAAAGAGATGAGTGTACACGCTTAACCACGAAGATAAAAAAAAGAAAGATGAAAGCCTTTCTACTTTGAAGCATGCTTTTATTGCCATAGCGCTAAGTACGTATATATAATCCAAGAATAGCATCGCAACGATCTCTTGGAGGAATTTATTTTTTATTATTATTATTATAAATGGCCGTGTCGAGGAAGGTATGAATTTTTCATAAGATTCGAAACTGGATTACTCCTTTCTCGGAGAAAAGAGATCCCTATACTCGGGCATTGTGCATCGCATCTATTTCAGGAGTATGCCTTTGTTGCGTTTGTACGACAAAAGTGCGCTTACGTGATAAAGTTACCGTGCGGCGGATGCACGGCGGACACGAGAGCGCGTCGAAGGAGACCGAATGCATCTCCTTTTTTCTTGCCCATCGACCGATTTGACGCGCGACATTGAACAAGGGAAGTTGGTATATATAGTTTTTTTTCTCTTTCGCAACGCAAATCGAGCTCGGCGCGCAACGCTACCGAAGCTAATACTGGCACTGGAAATAACCTCGGCTATAATCAATTTCTGGTAAGTATCGGCCTTATCAACAGCTTCAAAGTGAATCCGAGCACAAGACAAGAGAGAAAGATAGGAAAGCCGTAAAGCGGAGAAAGAAGAAGCATTCCGCGCTCAGAAAGACGATCTCTATAAAGCGAATGTCGGCGGCGTTCGCTGTCGGGATAAAGATATAGCTCTGGCGAGGTGTGTAGAAGAATAAGAAAGTAATCGAGAAGAAGTCATATGCGAAAATACGTACCTTGCATAGTGGAGTGTCGTCTTTGCGGTGGCGGCGGACTACCTCCTGCCTCGACGCTACTCCCGCTGTGGCTATCCAACTGAGTGCTATGGCCGCTGTCGCTGCTCGTCACCGAACCTACGTAACATCGTGATGTTGTTGTGTCTATGTGGCATGTGTGTGTTTTGCAGGAAAGGGAGGCACAGAGAAAGAGGTAGAGACGGAGAGAGAGTCTTCGCAATTGCTGAAGCTGTCCCCGTCGTCGTAGTCGTCGTCGTCTCGTCGTCGCTTCTCCTATATACTTATACACGCATACCGCTTTCACGCGCTTCCTTACGGATATCAGTGGGGGACGTGTGGCGTATCGAAATCGACCATCGACGCACGATAATACTGCGTGTGTGGAACGACTCGGCTTTTACTGCTGCGATTATAGGCGATTTAGCCTTCTCGAACCAAGCACACTGCTCGAGAGATGTTCTGCATACAGAACATTTTTTCAGTAATATTTTCGGACTATTGACAAAGTCAAAATGCTTTGATGAAAAACGCTCACATTCATCGATGATCGCTATAGTACGCAGCAGCAACAAGTATCACTCCAACGCGCTCTTTCAAATCGACCAATAGATGATATGAATGATTTTTTTCTGAATACCGAAATGAAAGTTGATGTATTTGTACTATTATCAGTAATATAATGATAATAAGCTAACTACTCTATAACCAATTTGCACAAAAAAACTGTTCTAATAAGCCATTATATCCATATGATAATAATAAGTGATGTTTATCTGTTTTATTGATATTTCATCTCTCTTGTTATTAGCAGATGATCTGATCGATGAAAAAATACCAATGGTGATATAATTATCCTCCGAGAGTGTAAGAGTGAATTCTATATGGAAAGCGCGAGCTTACGGCTTGTACAAAATAGTATAATATGCGTGCGCGCGTGTTGTTATATTAGAGAAAAAAAATAATAAATAGGACAGCGAAAGGACATGAAAACACTCATGATTAATATGATTGCGTCACGGTTGTGCAGCGTGCAAAAACAAAAAAAAAAGACTTAATTCTTTAATGTTTTTTTGTTCGCTCAATTGCTTATTCGCTCGTTTGGAGAAAAAAGAAAATTCACCCATAAGTAATCTCTCCTTCTCTCTGTTTATAGCATTCTCGAGTTATATGACGAGATTATATATATATAAAACAAGGCAAATAATAGTCATTTATTTAACCACATAAACAAGCAAAAGCTAATATAGCCTTGAATCAAGTAGCTCATCGAAAATAACTAACTTCGTCATTCCTAAATAACGAAGTTTTCATTTACACGAGTTCCATTCAAGGATCAAAAAATAAAGCGATGATAGTAAGAAAATGAGTAGTTAAGAAAATATAAAAATTAGCAATTAGTAAGACGAGAGAACGAGAGATAAAACATCCATCTGTTATCGTGAAGAAATATATATACTAATAATCGCAAGCACCGTTATGTGTGTGTGTGTGTGTGTGTGTATGTGTATATATACACACACACATACACATACATACATATATCAAAAGTATGCGGGAGATAGAGAGATAAAGAGAAAGAGACGACGACGATGAGGAGTTTAGTAACACAAGCATCTAATTTAAGCTTACCACTCGTCAACGTTTTTCTCAGAGGTTGCAGGTTGCTCAAACTCGTCACGCTGCTACTTTCCGCGCTAAGATCAACTGGAGGTGGTAGACCTGATGGAGTGTCACTGTGTGATCGTTCGTGCATTGGTACTCGACTACCTGAACCAACTCGTCGTGGTGCCCCAGGACTCGATTCTAGTTGTGACGAGTGAAGTGCCAGTCCTGGCACAGGTAGTGGTGGTGCATGTTTTGGCTGATATGGTCGAGTTTTATGTGGATCTGATAACGCAAGCATTTTACGGACTGCTTGTGGCGATGCGGCTCCGAATTTCGTGCCTAAAAGGCAAAAAACCATTAGTATCACTTTCAATGTTGTTAAATAAAGAAAGTAGATTTTTTATTCGATTCTACTTATAAAAAATGACCTTGAATACTCTTTCTTCCCTCGCTGGTACTACTGGCACTGCTCGTAGTCGAGAGCGTGGGTGACGGATGTCTTCTACCCCGTGAACCACCCAGCGGCACAGCCGCGGCCATCGTTACGGTACCAACATGAGGTTCGCACTCCACTGATAGTTGATGCAGTTTTTCTTCGTCCGTTATCACTTTCATATTCGCTAGGTAAGCTTTTACTCGACGTACCATCTGTGCTTCTTCGAACATTTTCTTGGGATTCGGTGCTGCTGCAGATTTCTTACGTCGTTTCACTGTTGCAGTTTGCCCACCTGTAAAGTTAAATCGTGTTGAAAAAATCATTCGGTTTGTGAGAAACAGCTATGCAGAAATATTATTAAACATTTTTAGTAAAAATCTAATGGTAGTGCTTCAAAATCATCAACAAAAATTACACGTGATTGTGAAAAGTTAGAAATGTTAAAAACAATATTAGATTAACGAAAAATTGTATCTTTTGTTTTTGTTTTTTAACAATTAGGTGTAAGTCTTGTTGTTTCTACACTGAATAATTTTTTATTATTGACTAGTTCATTACGGCATTTCTAGCAGCTGTGTGGTGATAAAAATTTACTAGTGATCTGTTTTATACATTTTAGAAGACAATACAGTATACAATGCCAACGTTAATGGATAAATTTCAGGAACCAAACAACCTAAAAGATTAGAAAACTACATTAGATGTGAATGCATCGTTTCGTACCGGCATACAGCTCCCACAATCTGTACAATAACCATGATCCGTGAGTTTGAAACTCCCCGTCTAAGAGAAATTTATGACAGTTATATACATATATAATAGTGATTAGATTTGACGTAAACCTAATTTCTTTTCCTTTGTCAAAAACAAAAATAAAAACAAAAATAAAACTATGTCAGAGCAATTACTACGACAATTTTTTTATTCAAACAAAAAGTATATGTATATATTTACCTTGACCACCAGTAGTCATTTGATTAAGAGCCACCATAGCAGAACTTGGCGGCTGCCCTCCACGTTCCAGCATGGTCACCATGTCGTACGAAGACGAGCACATATTCGTTAGAGCTCGGACTTCCTTTGCTATCATGCGGAGTTTCTCGAAGTTTACCAAACCTTCTACTCTCGAATCGTTACCAAGATGAATGAACGTCAGATCTTTCTTTACAACAGGATAGAATGGAATCTGCGCAGAAATAGACAAAAACAATTGGCTCATTTCATTAAAAAACATATTCCTTTTTAGATTAGAAAAGACTTACGATAGGAGGCTGTGTTTGTTCACTGGCAACTAATTGTCGGTATTTGCTCATATTTCGACTTGGATCCATAAGATCTTGTAAGTCACTGAATAACCTCTGGTACTTGGTTGACAACTTTTCCCAAGAAGATCTCAGTCTCGAAACCGCGCCATGACCCAATCCAGAAATAATTGCAAACATGGAGTTGAAGTTCTTGCACTCCTTGCACTGACGTGCTATTTTGACAAACTGTTTGATAATTTTACTTCGTCTGACAACATTATGCTCGGAGCATACTTCAGTCACAACCCAGAACATTTCTCTATTGACTAATTCGGCGAACTGGCTAAGCATTGGCACGCCATATTTGCTTTTTAGCTCGAATAGATCGTCAACATATTCCGTCGATTCAATTTGCCTGCAATTATCAAATACATTCATTAAAATTTATTCAAAACTAGTTATACCTCGAAATAACAATTATGAATAATCAACTCTCACCTAAATATACTAAAGTCCTGAAGAGTCAATTGGAAAGCCACTTCAACCGCATTTAATTGCAAGAAATGAACCTGCGATTCTCTAACAAGCTCAGGAGCTTGTTCATCCGCGACCAAAGTTTCTGAAACACCGTTGGTCTTGAGATAATATCTTGAGCTCAGTCCAATACGTTCGGCTAAATTCTGTAATTGATCGGGTAACCGCCTTTGCTTGATCATGCCACCTTCGCCAACACTCACTTCCGCAAGAGAGAAGTTAGAGCTACTCTCAGTGATACCAAACTCTTGAAGAGCAAGCATCACTACCTCGTGCGCTGTCGTCTCTTTATGCACGAGAAGATACTTGCAAGTTTGATCGGCTTTATATACTTTGAGTACGTGTTCAGGATAGTCAGCCGCTCGCAAGTCATCATAGCAATAGAGAGTTGTCAGGTCGGGATTCGAGCGAGAATGATAGAGGTTAGAATTCTGCTGGGCCAAACCTGTGCCGGGAGGCGTATGTGGTGGACCAAGCGGATCGTCTGCATGCACTCCATCACTGATAAATCAATATTTTTTTTTATTACTAATGCCATATCTATATTTTTATAACTCTAATTTTTTGTTTGCGTTAACCGCACATTATTGCAATCAGTCAATTTCAAGACGGAGAGATATGTTTTTATTAATAGAATAATAAAAGTGAAATAGTAACTCACTTGATCAAATTCTTTGGCAAAATATTCATTTTCATGAGAGCTTTCTGGAACCTCTTTCTTGGTCCAAGTGTCATGAAGCCTTTGTGCTCTTTTTTAGAGTCTTTACAAGGAGACGTGTTGCTACTGTCGGTGCTAGACATAAGTAGTGGCACACCTCCAACCATCGGATTCAGAGCATTAACAGGTGTCAATGGATCGACATGAGTCGATAACCTTATTCGCGGATCAGTCTGCAATCTCGGAAGTATTTCGGGTTTGTTTGGTCGGTTACGCGCTCGTGGAGAGTTGTCCGGTACTTGCAACATCTCTTTGAAATCTGAAATTTCAAATTATAATTCGAATAAAAAACTATATTTTTTAAAATTTGTATATATTTTTATTATAATTCTCTGTACCTAAAAGATTGGATTTGACAGTAATACTAAGATGCGTCGAGCCCCTGAGAATTTCTAAGGCTTTCGCGTGACTGACGTGCTCGAAACTCTGTCCATTAACCTCGAGAATGTGGTCGCCGCGTTTCAGACCTACATCCTCGGCTTTAGATTTCTTCTCGACCTTCGAGATGAATATACCGTATCTCTTTTCGTAACCACCCAAAATACTGAAGTGTAAAACTTCGTCTCTACTCGGTCGCGTCAATACAACTGTTCGCGGTCTCGCCTTGGCCGAGCATGCGATGTTCAATAATCTAAAATATAAAATAAAATTTGATTAGTTAACATTTTGTTTTCAATAGAAAATTCTTTGTTATTACTATCGCTAAATATGACAATGGTTTCATGCAAGTTTTTACGCGACTTATTCAAATCATATATAATAAAGGAAGCCCTAGGCGAAAACACATTATATAAGATTTCTTTCGTTATAACGTTATTACGCCAAAGTTTCTGGAACCGGGTGATTAGTACAAGCTTAAAACAAATTCTTGCGAACGCGAATCATTGGTGCAACAAGAATACGTAAGCATAGGCAAACTGTCTTTCATAAACAAACTTGCATCCTTGAAAAACTCACCTTTGTTGACCTTGCATCTTTTCTCTCTCCAAGCACATCTCAAAAGCTTCAAGAAATTCCATCATTGCAGGATCTGTCTCGAAGTCCGTGAAATGATTGTTGACCCAGAGCAAAACCACTCTGGCCACTCTGTCCCTGACGTGAGCTTGCTCGAACCACTCGAGTAATTGCGAAGCAACATGTAATGGATTATCAACGAATGTCCTGTGAGTTAGCAAGAAATCCTCGACGTAAGTCGGGTCGGTAATACTGTTTTCCTCTATCAACTGCAGCATAAGACGTTCTGGTGTGCCTCTGATCACAACGTGACCGCGTCGTACCCCACCTTCTAACGAACCACGAAGCTCAGTCACAAGAATAACATGTCCGTTTTCTTCGTGCCGCCTCGTATTTTCTTCACCCTGGTGCTGGATTCTGTAGTAGTCAGCTTGAGTGACGCAGACGAATTGGCAGTCATCGCACCTGTGGGAAAGCGAAAAAATACGTAAGTGAGTCATACATTGTATGTACAGAGAGAAAGAAGGTGGATAATGAAAGCTTACTTTGTTCGCATAATACCGCGGTGAAGCAGCCTTTCCATGGTAGGTAGGATGCCAAAACTGTCACCAACATGCAGCTGTTCAACTTCTCCATTGTTGTATTCAACTTCAACGGTTCCATTGATCAGAACACTCCAACTGTCCAACTCTTCTCCATCTGTGAGGACAATCATACCAGCACGTTCGACCACTGCAAAAACCATTACTGCGCACAGTGCTCGCCTCACTGCCAGGGTCATATTTGTGAAAGCCTTGAGATGCTGAGTGAACTCAAGCAAGACCTCAATATCATCTTCTGTCCGTTCTGCTGGGTCTTTCTCTAAACACTCCCGTACTGTATCTCGAACAGTTAAGCTCTGCAAGAAATGTAGATGTAAGCTTTACTTGTAAAACTGAAAAATATGTTTCTAAGTAATAAATACTTACGTCCATACTCTCTGCAAGGTCTTCTTCCTCATCGCTATCCACCACAGACTCAACAAGACCAGATAGATCAACATCATCAGCATCCGCATCCAGCGAACTCTGTACAGAAGTCATTGTGTCTGAACCACTATATGCAGAACTGGTGTCACTGGAGTGGCTACTTCTGTTGGACTTCTGATAAAGTTCTGGTCGGCCTGATAGGCCCTGCGAAAACTGTTGTAGCAAAAATGATTTGTTATTAAACATACCAATTCTGATTAATTAATATTGATGTAGAGTTGATTGTATAACTCATAAAAACTTTGGTTTTAGGTTGGTTTGACATTGTTCTGATTATTTAAGGAAAACGTATAAGGACTCCTAATATTCAATGCCACTGACAATTGATAATTACAGCTACTTCCATAATCTCCTGAATGATCATTAATCATCTAACTCGTGTAGAAAAAAAGGTTTTGGTATATAGAGAATCTGACTATGGATTGTGCATGTCTTAGGCATCTTTAAAAGTGTTTTATCTGCACAGGGGTCTTTCATTCTCAATGAAGTAATAAAGAGGCTTAACAATAGACTCACACAAGTCAACTCTAATGCTGGCTGGGTAATTTGATTACCAAGAAAAACAAGAGCAAAGTGATATGTCAAGTTCAGAAGATGGATATTGGAATGCTTAGCATTCCAAGGGCTCTCTGTTAAATTAATAAAGAACCTGCAGATACGCCCCAGTTTGCAGAAAAGGAACAAATTCATAGACAATACGCGACAACGATGACTCATGACACAATTCTCTCTCTCTCCCAAAACAAAACCAGCAAATAACAACAACAAAGGAAGAAAAGCCGACAAAGTACATGTGCATCTCGCACGAGTTTAAAAAGCTCTCCGCGCATAGTGAGCAAGTTAAAGCACTCAAAAGGAGCAAATTAGCTCTAGTGCGCATGCATCGCAAGGGAAATTAGATTTTCCCCAGGACATAGCGCGAGACAGAGAGAATACACGCCGTGCATGCTTCCCTCGTTCGCGGTGGTGGCGCAGGTCAGTAGTATTAGTAAGAGTAAAGTAAAGCGAAGGCAACGGACGAACGGCAGAGAGCAATGATATGTACACACAGCAGGCTGCGAATGATAGGCGTGATTGCATTGGAGAATGACAGATACTGAGTTGGACGCCAACAACGATGACGTCATCGGGCGCACAAGAGCAAATGGGTGATGTTGTCGGGATAGATGTGTTACAACGCTCGTCCGGTCGACCGCGACTCTCGCGCGCGACGACGGCGGCCATGAGAGAATAGATGTAGGTATAGTATATAGGTGACGCTCTCTCGTGCGCTCTCTCTCTCTCTCTCTT